GGGGGGGGGGCGGGCGCTGCCGTTTTGTTCCATCCGCGATAAGTCAAACACCCGCTGGTCAACATTCTTCGTTTCGAAGCTGCTCGTTACGCCAATGAAGCAGAACAAGTTAATGTGCCACCGAGTCAACACAGCTGGCAGTTTATTCTGCCGTGAAAGGAGACCCCTCCTCAAGAATCGCCTCATCTCTCCCTCGCTCACAACTAAATAGATTTCATTATTGCAATACCAAATCCGATTCGTTTCCCTTCAAAGCCCCACTCGAGTCTCTCGTGCGCAGCCGCGAGCCTCCCCGGTGATACTGTTGATCGTACTGCAGTGTCCACCCGCCTTCCAACTCTAAAGGGAACCCTCTCCGCAACAAGAGGGGTGTTTAGACAGTTTCACAGGCCTCAAATAGTACCACTACTTTGCTTAACTCGGTATCAACAACAATCACTTCAAGTTTCCCGCTAACGGTCGTATCTACGTATGAATAAGCTCAGACTGATCGCTTCCAGTCGATGTTGGAGCTCTCCGGTAAACAACAAATATCCACGAATGGCACACACAGGCTCTCAAGAAAAAGACGATGATGGCCCACCTCCGTGTCGACGGCGTTGACGATGACGAAGCCAAAGTCGCGGAACAGGCTGGGGACGTCCAGGCTGCGAATGGAGTGACCGATCTGTTTTGTTTTCGTCACGTGCGGTTGCGGCGTGTCGTTCTTGAAATAGGCATGGGGGTAGTACGAGGACGAGCTATACTTTGAGTACACGTATGTAAATTGCAATAGCCTACAGTTTTCTTGTCTTCTAAATGTAACCCCAACGGCAGCAAGCATCCCATGTTACTTTTTTTTCTTCGCAACATGCCTCGGCGTTCATGCAAACCCGGTTATCAGCACCTCTGCGGCACAGCGTGAACAAAACGCTCGGCAAACTGCTCCAAGACTACGTATTTCCTCATATATCACCTTCAAGACGTCCGGGTTTCCAAACGCATCCCTGAGAAGGCCCATGTTGTCCCACATGCCTTCGGCGAGGGGGTCGACGACGTAGTCCTGAGGGAAGACGACGTCGCCAACACCAAGAGAGATGAAACTTATGAACAAAAAAAGAAAGCTCCGTTTCGAGAGACACCACCGGCTGCAGGATTGTGACGTTTGTACAATCCGTTGGCCAGCTGTTGTGCAGAGGCTTATGTACAGAGGAAAATGCCTTTAGGATCGCTCGGCGTGAGGCGTAATGCACCAAAAAAATATGCACTCTCGGAATTTAAAAAATAAAGGTTGGCCCGAAACATAAAACTGAAAAAGCAAACGTACGGCCAGAAGTGATTCTGTCAACCTGCGGAACAAGCTACAGTAGTAAGAGTGAAATTTCTCGCAGAGGAGACACCCCCACACACCAAATAATACGGAAAGCCGATCAGACAGCGTTCCGGTGTTTGCTTACTTGAGTGATGCATTTTATCGGTCAACTGGGCAGCGTGGCCGATGCCAACCATAGACCCCCCACGCCCCAACACACACACGAGTATGCCATGTTGGGTGTTTTGGTACACATCAACCCCATCAAAAAACACTACACGGGACGGTTGTCAACCCCGCAGAGACGCACCTTCCATTCCGTGGATATTTGAAGGAGGCACACCAACCCATGGTACGTTCGAGCGTTGTGGGCTTCCACATCGAAGCTCCACTCTCGGCACGCATTCAGGTCCTCAGCAAGGGCGGAGAGCTGCGCGAGCGGAGGGAGGAACGGAAGGTAGCGAGGTTCTCTCTCTTTCTCTTTCTGTCTGTCTCGTGTGTTGCTGGATGATTTCGTGGTGCCCCGCTTATGGAAGAATATAGAAGGAAAACGGGAAACCGCTGGGGATGTCTGGGCTCTGGAACGGGCGGCGGGCCAGAATCTAGCAGGCGAAGGCAGGCCTTGTTTTCGAGGACGCGGGGACGCCCTGCACAGCGCTTGGACGTAATTTCCTGGCATAGTCTACAGATAGCGCCCACACACAAACACTTGTAGCAGTTGAAGAACTTCACGTTCAACATTTTATCAAATGACCAAGAACTTGAGCGCCATTGATGAGCCTCGCAAGAACCTAGATAGCCGGCATCTGTAGCCCACAAGAGGAACCAAGAACCCCAGCCTCAGCCAAAATGAGAGGTTCGTGAGTGCGGTAGCGCTAGCCCTATGCTGCTACCTTGCTGGCGCGTCATGGGGTGAGATCGCCTCCCCGTCTAACCTCAAAATAACACACGACTGTCTGTGTGCAACTGACCTTAGCTGGAGTGTCGACGTACTCGTACTCCACTTCATGCAGCAGCGGCCACTCCAAGAAGGCTGTCTGGGCCTTTTCCACCTCAAATTCAGGGGCAGCCGCATAGCCGTAAGCATTGGGGAGGCTGGTTGGCGGCACGTTGGCCCTGAGCCACTGCTCAAACCCCGGCTCATGAAGCTGAACGCTCGCGTGGAAGCTACACCCCGGAGCGAGGGCACCCGCAAACGATTGTTCGGGTAGGTGGGGGGCGGGGGCGGAGCGGAACTGAGCATTCAACTGCAACAGGTGTTCGCTGTTTGACCAAATATTTTTACCAGATGAGAAATCGAAGGCATCGCTAGGAATGAATGGGAAAACGCGAGCTTCAAACTCGAATCGTAGTGTGCTCTCAGTCTTCGCCTTGTCTGATGACCGCCAGAACTACTGCTGTGTTGTTAGGTTCATTCCTATCAGAAGAAAAAGTTGCGGAAAAGGTTCCGAATCGGTCCTTTCAAAAAATACAGGGAGGCATGTCGACGATTTTTTTCACGTTTCCGTGAAAAGAGTACGCAGGTTTTTTTCGTGCTTGCTCCTTTCACGGTAATGTGAAATAATTCGGGACTTTAACAGACGGACCGGGCAGGCGCACCGCGGGCGCTAGCACCACTTAGAGTGCTCGCAAGACTGCTGGACTTATGTCCAGGCCTATTGCAAAGAATGAGAAACGGCAGAAGCCGCGTTCAGGTCGTTGTTTGTCCAAACCGAGTCATTGCGTAGCGCTCTCGTCTTCAGCTGCCGCTGTTGACGGGCGAGGATATATTTTCATCACACACAACAAACACGGACACCGTGAAATGAGCACAGCAGCAGAGCCAAGGCCTCCAACGCGCTGATTCCTTCTGTTCGGCTGTCTATATAATCCTCATTCCCGGCGCCATGCTGCTTCGTGGGTATTGGGGGCTTGGGTGCTGCTCAAGAAGGTGTGTGATTGATGTGCGCCACTTCACCAAACTCCCGTTTGAAAGAATGCGGTGAGATGACCTGTTTTTGGTCGGACACAGCAACATCAATCCACGGCACCACACAGCAGTGGAGCAATAGGGCCTCCGGCACGCTACTTCTTTCGGATTGGTCATGTATATGATACTGGCTCCCAGCGCCGCCGCCGCTCTATGATTGTTAAGGTCGTCTACCTTTCGGCAGGGAGTGGTAACAAAAGGATGTCACACTGGGGTCACCACCGGCAAAATGAGCGGGAGGACTCGAGGAAATCGCAAACAACGCCCAGTTTGCGACACTGCTCCCTGCCCCCTGTGCTGAAAACAGCAGGCCGGGTGGACAGGGTCTTTACAAGTGTGTTGTCCTCTGTGGCTGTGGTCATTTTTGTGCTTGGACCACCACTCTATGGTGAGCCATGTCGATTTGACTTGCTGTGCGCCAAGCAAGGCGTGCATTCAGCGCCAAGAAATGTTTTTTTGCGGTGACATGATGATAAGAACAAGCAACAAACGCACGGATCTGTTTATTGACCGATTGGGGAATAATTGTCACCGATTCGTTTCTTTGGGGGGGTCGATAGGAACATAGGAACGAGTCTTGCAGGTGGGATGGTGCCCTGTTCTCCACCTTTTGAAATACTTCCAGCCAACCAGACCAAAAAAACACATACTATTGAACGTGTTGTAGATATTGTACGCGTGCTCCATTACCCATCGGCCTTACACGTCTGTCTGCGACAAGCCTTCCTGCGTAAGAGATGACCGTGCGACGCAGCTGAATCCGGTGGCGTGTCAAGAGTCGACGGTGTAGGCCCGCCGCCTTTTGCTCTACTTTGCGTCAGCAGCACTCAAATGGTGGAAATGGCTCTACACGAACGGGGAAACCACTATTCTATGTCCTGGAAATGGTTACGGTTTCGGCCTCCGCATGAGTAGGCATAATTCAAACGTCTCCCGACCGCGACAGTAGTGGCAGCACCCCACGCTACGCTTAAAGTGTCCCATCCCATCATGGTCCGGTCCATCTTATCACCTGCGCAAGGCGACCAAAAAGGGCTCCGCAATCGCTTCATGACCTGGCTGCATCGCGAACCGTTTTACCACAGGGGCGGCGACACCGGGCTTGTACCATTTGCTCCCGCCGCGTGTAAGTATCTTCCCCTGAAAAACCCCTGTCCATGGGGGGGGGGGGGGGGGGGGGNGGGGGGGGGGGGGGGGGGGGGGGGGGGGGGGGGGGGGGGGGGGGGGGGGGGGGGGGGGGGGGGGGGGGGGGGGGGGGGGGGGGGGGGGTTGGCAGGCGAGACTCGGGTTACACCGGGGAGTGCACACATGAATCAGGAGATGTCGTCGAGGTTTCATGTGTTCAACGTGTGGCATACCGAAGTTCGTCTTCCCAAATCGACTACAGCCCGGGGCGTCGAAAACACACGCGTTAGTGTTTTCGGGGTGCTCCGAGCGTGTCATCGCAGCATCTGCCTTACTCACAACACAACACAGGTGTGAGCGGAACAAAAAAAGTTGCTGTGGATGCTCCAACCTCCCCCATGTACAAACAAACAGCTGCTCGCACGGGCGGCGCGGCCGAGTCGTGACATCGTTGTCTGCGGCGTGCCAAGTGCTTCGTGGTGCTTGCTTTTGCGGTGCTCAGTGGAAACCAACCAATCAGAGCTCTTGGTCTTGCCACCAAGGAAAACCCCCACCTGTTCTGGAGATGATGACGTGCCTGTTTGGGTCTGCCCCGCTCGAGGCGTGGAAAAGCGCCAGCTCCATCGCCAATCCGTGGATCTGGCGTCGCTGCTGGGCACTAAGACTGGGCGGAAAGGCTGTTTGTTGCGTGTCCGACGTAGGGGGTTGGGACGGGTAGTGTGCTTAGAGGGGGAATCCGGAACAGTGTTCTAAGCTTGGTCCTGTGCATCGCCGCCATTGGCGAATTGTGCCGCACTACCAAACGTCCACGACAGGCAACACCCAATGCCACGTATCTACACACCAACCGCTGGTTGGACCGTGCCACCCCTGACCCTACAGCACGTAACCTGTGCACCGACGAAAGCATCATCTTTGCAGCCACAACACAAACTTCTTGCCCCATTGCGGCTCCCACCTATCTCGTCCTGGGAGGGGTCGAAGTCAATCTCCTCCGTGACCCCACTCTCTTCCGGCGGCCGCGCAAGGCTGCTCCCTCCACCATCAGGATTCGCCGGCACCCTTCCCTCCTTCCAGGCGGCGAGCTTGACCCGGAGCCACTGGTCAAACACCGCCGCGGCCTCATGCTCAGCTTTAGCCTTTAGCGTGCCCATCCCGCGCTGCCCCGGTGCCCAGCGACGCTTCTTTTTCTTTCCGCCGCCTCCCCCTTGCTTCTGCTGCTGCAGCTGCAGCTGGCACGACTTGTTCTTCATCATAGTCTGCGCGATCTTCGCTTCCCGGGCACGATCGCGCCGCTGCTTTCTCAAGGCCTGCTGCTCCTCCCGCGTGACAGGTGTGACCCCCGCAGCCCCTGATATGCAACACAAACAGCAGTCAGCGGTACAGCAGTGCCGACCCGCTCGTAAGAAATACACGCAGTAATCACAGTAGACACGTCTATTATGTAGATAGAATCCTACTTTGGTGAAGTACTGCAATATGTAGCAGAGACGTGGTCTACATTTTGTCCAAGGTGTGGTACTCTGTCCGTAAGAAACCGAGGCGTAGATGTTGGACTAATATAAGAAAAAAGGGCCTAGAACTTGAGCATAGCGGCCGGTGCTACAACAATTCCTATATAGAAGCCGTTGCTCAGAGGGGACAAAATAAGGATTGAGCCTGGCTCAAAGTACTACTGGTAGGAGTTCCTGGTTTCTTGTGAGCGGGCGGGCACGGCTGTGGCATTCGTGGTTGAGCCGCATTTCTTGGTGGTGTGTGTGGTGTGTTGTGATGTGACGAGGATCCTAGGGCTGCCACGACGCCCGCCGCATCACCTGGAGCGTTATCGCTTGGTTTGCGTCGGGTGGAAGCGTCTGAATCACCCCCTCCGGCTCTGCCGCATGTTGCGCTGCCTGTCGGCACTTCCTGGTGACGTGGGCCGGCGTGTTGTGGCCGATCTGCCCGATCTGTCTCCGAGGCACCGTAAACCTGCGGCATGATGTGCCAAACTCTGAATCTATTTTTTCCCAGGTCTGATGGTTTTGACGGAAGCGTGGGTGCGTGCAAGGCCTGGTTACGTGGCGCCGTTCCCCCTGGTATCTGTAGAGCCGGGCATGCTACGACCGGTGCTCTTGGCCTGTGGTCTGGCTCTGTCGCACTCTATCCAACCGGGGGTGCCGCGGTATCGAAATGAGAAACCCGTGGGGTATGCCAAGGCGGTATCCAAACCCGAACATTCCCCAAAAAAAAATATTTGAAATCGCGCCGCGTGTTACCCTTTCAACATGACACGTGCCCTACGTACGTGTGCCTCTTCTCACAAACACAGCAGCGACACGTGGAAGGCAACCGACAACCAACAACCAACACACTCAACTGCTGTGCAAGTCCCCGCCCCACACTTCACATTCCCTCAAACCCACACCCTCACTGCTACATCAAGAGAACAATGTCTTTTCTGCAGGGCATCATTCCGGAGAAGGTGAGAGGTCTGAGCCAAAATTGATAGATACCGAACCGAAAGTCTTCTGTGTGTGCATTCATTTTTCTTAATACCGCAGGCAATGCCCAACGCTACTGTTGCCCATTGTCTCTGGAGAAGCTGACTCTAGCAGACTCTCCTGGTGCGCAGGAATGTAGGGTTCTTGCTTGTTGTTGCAGTATGAAGATGGTTGGCGCGCCAATCTCAACGCTGAATATTTTCGAAGTTTGAAATATCTCCGTCATACGTGCTACCAGGAACATCCGGCGAGGTGCAAGCGACTTATATTTGCTGTTGAGGCTCATCCACGACAGCCTAGCTTGCCCAGTGTCTCTGGAGAAACTGGCTCTAGCAGACTCTCCTGATGCGCAGGAATGTAGGGTTTTTGCTTGTTGTTGCAGTATGAAGATGGTTGGCGCGCCAATCTCAACGCTGAATATTTTCGAAGTTTGAAATATCTCCGTCATACGTGCTACCAGGAACATCCGGCGAGGTGCAAGCGACTTATATTTGCTGTTGAGGCTCATCCACGACAGCCTAGCTTGCCCAGTGTCTCTGGAGAAACTGGCTCTAGCAGACTCTCCTGATGCGCAGGAATGTAGGGTTTTTGCTTGTTGTTGCAGTATGAAGATAGCTTGTCCAGTGTCTCTGGAGAAGCTAGCTCTAGCAGACTCTCCTAATGCGCAGGAATGTAGGGTTTTTGCTTGTTGTTGCAGTATGAAGATAGCTTGTCCAGTGTCTCTGGAGAAGCTAGCTCTAGCAGACTCTCCTAATGCGCAGGAATGTAGGGTTTTTGCTTGTTGTTGCAGTATGAAGATAGCTTGCCCAGTGTCTCTGGAGAAGCTGGCTCTAGCAGACTCTCCTAATGCGCCGGAATGTAGGGTTTTTGCTTGTTGTTGCAGTATGAAGATAGCTTGTCCAGTGTCTCTGGAGAAGCTAGCTCTAGCAGACTCTCCTAATGCGCAGGAATGTAGGGTTTTTGCTTGTTGTTGCAGTATGAAGATAGCTTGCCCAGTGTCTCTGGAGAAGCTGGCTCTAGCAGACTCTCCTAATGCGCCGGAATGTAGGGTTTTTGCTTGTTGTTGCAGTATGAAGATAGCTTGTCCAGTGTCTCTGGAGAAGCTAGCTCTAGCAGACTCTCCTAATGCGCAGGAATGTAGGGTTTTTGCTTGTTGTTGCAGTTTGAAGATGGCTTGCCCAGTGTCTCTGGAGAAGCTGGCTCTAGCAGACTCTTCTGATGCGCAGGAATGTAGGGTTCTTGCTTGATGTTGCAGTATGAAGATGGTTGGCGCGCCAATCTCAACGCTGAGTGGTCTCGAAGTTTCGAATATCTCCGTCATACGTGCTACCAGGAACATCCGGCGAGGTGCAAGCGACTTATATTTGCTGTTGAGGCTCATCTACGACAGCCTAGCTTGCCCAGTGTCTCTGGAGAAACTAGCTCTAGCAGACTCTCCTGATGCGCAGGAATGTAGGGTTTTTGCTTGTTGTTGCAGTATGAAGATGGTTGGCGCGCCAATCTCAACGCTGAATGTTCTCGAAGTTTCGAATATCTCCGTCATACGTGCTACCAGGAACATCCGGCGAGGTGCAAGCGACTTATATTTGCTGTTGAGGCTCATCTACGACAGCCTAGCTTGCCCAGTGTCTCTGGAGAAACTAGCTCTAGCAGACTCTCCTGATGCGCAGGAATGTAGGGTTTTTGCTTGTTGTTGCAGTATGAAGATGGTTGGCGCGCCAATCTCAACGCTGAATGTTCTCGAAGTTTCGAATATCTCCGTCATACGTGCTACCAGGAACATCCGGCGAGGTGCAAGCGGCTCATGTTTGCTGTTGAGGCTCATCTACGACAGCCTAGCCGGCTGACCTAATTCATGAGCGAGCCGTTGTGCCCGGCCACTTGTTCCCCGGTCCTGGCCAACAACCATTTCCAAATCCAACAATCAAATTGTACTGATGTAGTGTTTGTTCAATATACCGCGTATGCCCCCCGTTTCCCACCAGCCCGTTCAGCGTGCCGTCAGCGTCACTGCGCTTGCTATAGCCGGCTGCGGAGGGTTGTACTTCGCCGCAGAGAGCGGAGCCCTTGTCAGCTGGAGCCTGCCTCACGTCAAACCATGGCAGGTGAGCCCCTGCAGTGCCTGTGCTAGTAGTGTTGGCAGCCACAGTATAGTCGAGACTACGGTATGCAGTACACGCTGTGCTAAGAAGCTGCACTCCTGTACATATAGGTTGCCCCAGCAGCAGCAGTGTATGTAGATGGTAATAACGCAGGGCAAGCGGTTCACCGGAGGGTGTGTGAGGGTGTGTGGGCGCACGCGGAGGGGGGGATGATCGTGGGCCTGAGAGTGGAGATGTACGGACTACTGCTTCAAGATCTATGTAACTTTCCCCGAGGTAAACTTAACAATGGTTGCCCGCCCACCGCTGCTGGTGTCCAAGTGGCATGTTTCAAGTGCCCAAGCGACAAAGCTTCGAAACCATGCTATTGAAACAACGATGCCCTACACCATGGTTAGATAGATGGGTACAAGAGCTTTTCGCGCCACCTGGAGAGTCGTATTATGCGTTGCCTGGATTGTCGGTGTGGGGTCGACAAGCTGTGGGTGGGCCCCAACCGCGTGGGTCCATGGTCCATCGCACGCGCTGCAGGATCTACCAGCATCTGTCTTTGTGTCTACGCCTTCGCTAGAACGGACGCTTTTGTCTCTACCCAGTGCAGCAATGCTTCCATCGCATACACGAAAATTGTTGCCTCACGGGCGAGAGACGAAATCGTTACATCGTTGTCGTTGACAACGACCGAAGCCGGCAATACCCTGCTATGGTTTTGGGTCCTCTCTTGCTCGCTTTTGCAACAACCGCGATATTCGAGGTGCCGGGTCTAAATAGGCCCAACCGGCATCGGACGCTCCGACCATCGTGACCCCCCATCCTCTTCTCAGCTAAAACTACATTCGCTGTCCTCGCCCCTCTTTTCCCATATAATAAACAAACACAGAGAGACTATCCATTCTTTTTGTTTCCTCCCGTTGACCCAAGCTGTCACCCTCAAATCAAAACCGACCCAGGTCTTGACCCTCACCTCCTGGGCCATCAATACCGCGGCCGTCTCCGCCGGCGGGAGACTGGATGGCCCGGAGCCAGAGGACCCGAAGGACGCGAAGCTTCCTCTGGTTCGCTACTTCATGCCGGCGGGGTGGGCGTTCTCAATCTGGGGGCCCATATTCCTAGGTGTGTGAGGGAAGAGATTGTCGTCGGAACCCGCAAAGAGTGTTTGGTGTTCGGTTGTGCAGATGATTTCTTGTTTTTTTGCGGTCACGGTGTGCAAGGCGCGCGTGAAGCGTGTTGATCCACTATTGTCTACCTTATTTGCGTTGATGTTACGCCATATGTATTAGAAACATTCCATGGTTATGCCATGGAAACATTCCATGGTTGAAACATTCCATGGTTAACCGCCTCTCTCTCGGATGAGGTCCAAAAATCTTCGGTTTGGGCGGTGCCTTGGCTCGCAATACTTGCCGCGATTGCTTGTGAGTGTTTCATGAAAGTTGATATTGCAATCTACGGCACACCGATATCGAAGTGAGGGTCCTGTTCATTTTGTTTCATTATTTCGATTCATTGCGTTTAATTGTTGTCGAAGTCCTTGACATAGTTCACGTTAAAATTGTGCCAATACTAAACTTCCAAGTGCAGCTCTGCTGGATCAGACTCGAACTTTGGGTCTCTCTGACTCATTTTTTTCTGCAAGGACGCTGAAATTTTATCAATCCATGTCGGTGTATAGTGCAACCGCCCCACCCCCGCACCCCCCTTCCCTTTCTCGTTTTTTTTTCGTTCGTGTCAGGCGAAGCTGCCCTGGCGGTGTACCAAACACTGCCGCTAGAGGGCGTTAGCGCCGCGGCCGGGTGGCTCAGCAAGCTCAGCCCCTGGCTTTCATCGGCCTTTCTCGTTCAGGTACACATACACATGCGTTTCACGTAGCAAAGGGCCAACGATATCGTTCGACGTACGATCGTACTGCGGTGTGTGCAGCAGCACTGCCACGGCATGCATCGTTCATGGGTCTTACGGGTTGGATCGATGGGGTGCCAGGAGGTGAAGAAGTTAGCTGTAATGCCTTGCTGCCTTGGCTGCTTTGGCGAACTGATGTTGCGAGCAGATTGGTTTACGACCGCGTGCCGATGTCCTCGTTGTTCTCTGTTCTTGTTGCTACCCAAGATGCCATGGCAGAGCTGTCATGTGGTGTGGTGATGAGAGAAATCGTTCTTCGAGCGGTCCGCCTTGTTTGTAGTGGTGTTTTGTTTTTGTTGCTGACATGAGTGCGTTGTGCGGCCGTGCGGCTAATTCTTGCATGATCGCTCACTAGTTTTGGTCCCGGTGGTCAAACACTCGTGAGCAATGGAGCAACGATTTTCGACCAAATGGTGCTGCTGCTGGTCTGTCATTTTGAAGGGGAGGTTTCGCTTTTGATCGTAGGTCGAAACAGGAGACGGTTGTTATCTCTGCCGAGCATCATTCGGTGTATTCGGAAAACCCGCGTGTTGCCATCCCACAAAATCAACCTCATTAGGTCGAAGTGCATGCCATACTAACTGACTATCCCCCCCGCCAGGGAAACACGTCCACCTATAATTGGCAACCTCCCGCCCCCCCTCATCCTCTAGGGCCGAGGTCGTTCCGCATACTATCGTGTGCTAAAATAAAACAGAACCCCGAGAAACCTATTAAATTGTCGCCATGCCAAGCTCATCCCCACATTCAAACGCCTCTTTTGGAAAACCCAGTCCTGCTGGTGCCTTTCCTTCCGGAAGTGGGCAAGAGACTCGGGTCTCCTCTGGTTCCCGGCTGTGCTGTTGGGGGGCACCGCGGCATGCCTGGGAGGTGCCCATCACGTTGTCAGGGGGGCCCTGGCGGCAGGCGAAATGTCGAACCTCCAGTACGGCTTGGTGCACCTTCCCGTCAGGTATGTCCTGGGGTGGTTAGCAAAGCGAAGGGTTTCAACCCTTTGAGGCGCAGGTCACATATGTTTGGTGGAAATGACAGAAGAGAACAAAAACCTCTGCAGGGTGTGTTCCCAAATCCTGAACTCTTTGCATACCTTGTCTATGGTTTTTGAAGCAGCCGAAGCCACGGGTGCTTGCCTTACTCTTTCGACACGTTTCCGCATGCCGCATGCGGGAAAATATCACCACCGCTTGCCACCGCTCGCCAACCGGCCTCACTTGCCCCCCCCCCCCCCCCCCCCGGTCGCATCCGCCGCGCTCTCGCCAAACCGACGACAATTTCGCCTCACTTATCAGCCTTCACTTCGGGTGGGTGTCTTGCGCGACCCTGGTGAACCTCAACAACTACATCTCGCTGCTGCCAACCTCCGACAAGGGCAAGCTGAACTTCTCGCTGGCGTCCATTGCGTCCGCGGTCGGTCTGGCGGTCGCCGTTACCGGGACCACCGGAGACCCGGTCTACGCCGGCGTGGTCGCTTGGGCTCTGTCGGCGGTGGCCAGCGAGAAGGGCTGGGCCAAGATGAAGGTGGGAGGAACGGCATGTGTGCGCTGGCTGGTGGTGGTGGTTGTCTTCAAGGGACTTTTTTCCTCTGCCCGTATATGTGAAAACGCTGTTTTAAAAGCGATAACACAAAAAGCACAATGTGTCCACGGAATCGTCCCTCTCTCATTGCCGGTTGGGTCGGTCAGTGCGGGATGGTAACGGTATTCCAGGAAAAAGCGGACGTTTTTTTTCCCGAAATTCTTGAGGTGGTATCTGGAATGGATAGTCAGAAGATGATTACAACGGTTGGTAAGTGTGACGAAGAAGCAACATCCCCATCGAAACGCGCCCTCTTACCCCCCCCCCCCCCCCCCCCCCCCCCCCCCCCCCCCCCCCCCCCCCCCCCCCCCCCCCCCCCCCCNGCGAAACGCCCCCCCGTCTTCCGAATGCTGTTACAACCGCCACCACGGTGTCCCCTCTGCTCCCCCCTCCTGCCTCGCCTTCTTCTCCTCACGTGCAGGGAAAGGTGGAGAACTCAACTCTCGAGACGCAGGCGTTGGTTGCCAAAATCGGGGCGGCCGTTTGCGCCGGCATCGCTGTCGCGACGCCGCTTTTGCTGAAACAGCTCAAGAGTTAAAAAAAAAAAGTGCTGTCGGCGGGGGGGNGGGGGGGGGGGGGGGGGGGGGGGGGGGGGGGGGGGGGGGGGGGGGGGGGGGGGGGGGGGGGGGGGGGGGGGGGGTCGCAGAGTGCCACGAAGAGGGGACCGACCAACCCCTCCCTTGTCAACAAGAAACCTTTTTGAGATCTATTGGGCAATATATTTCAGTTGAGTAAGTTGGCTACATGTATGCATGCGAAAGGGGACCGCTTTCTTGAGGAGAACTGAGGGTCTGTGCTCCGTACTCGATCCTGCTTCTCTTGGTTGACGATCAGACGCTGCGTCATGTTTTGAGTGAAGTTGGGCGGTAAGATGTAGCGCCCGCCTGCCAATGCTCCACGACGACGTGTGGAGTCTGACGACGAGGCAGACAGATCGACCGACTCGGGGCAAAGACGTTGATAATCGAATCTCCCCCCCCGCTCGCTGCCTAGCCCCGGAAACCTCCGTGGTAAGCAGGAGCTACGTAGCTGCTTCTCTGTTATAGATGCTTCTCATGTTGGCGCGAGCCGGTTGTGATGTGGTTGTGGACACTCGCGTCACGCGTCTCGTAAGGGCAACAATTCTCGTGCTGGTACAAAAATTGCGTGTGTTGCCGTAGAGAGCCCCCGTTGTATGTCTATCAGAGGACGTTCACTGAAGAAATCTGGAAGATGTTTTATGTATTTCATGTACGACGGCCTCTCTTAGACCCCCCCCCCCCCCCCCCCC